GGTGTGAGATTTGTCAAATCTCACACCCTTCAACGTAGCGTTCACATGACCGTCTGATTCCACGAAATGTAACCACAGCCAAAAATTCTGGCCCAGAACCCTGCGCATGTTCTGTGGGAGTCGTCCGTGCCTATGGAAGAACTCGACAAGTCGATCTTGAAGTTCGTAATCACCATTAGGAATAATGAGCCTATTCCTCTCCTCAACAACCTCTTGCTCAACGTTGTCACAAGATATATGCCAGGCTAAGCCTCTCATGAATAACATACCATCTACCACACATAAACCCCTGAGTCCAGATTCCTGAAGGCCAGTCCCTCGCTGTAGCTTACACAGCTTCTCTCGTATCTCGGAATCCGAGGCTTGAGATTGACGTATCTCTTCATAAAGGGAATCAGGGAGCTTTCCATTCACAGTTAGAGATTCAGGGAACTCATCTCTTGCTTTGGAACAGTAGGGAAGAAAACCATCTTGTTATTGAGAAACTCCATACCGTCATTAATCTCTTCAGCATTCATTATAACATTACCACTTCTAGAACCCCTATCCGCGGGGTTGAAGTCACCTTTTATGAAATATATCGGTACCTCTCTCTCACAAGCAAAGTCAATGATGTTACCTAACCGATTCTTCTCATAAATTCCCAGATCCAATCTATTAACTCTTCCGGCCACTACAGTGGCGGGAAGAGTACAATACGGAAGAGCACAATCCAGCGGTCCGCTGCGTTGTAATCTGGCTATCGGCATATAGAGTCCATTTAAAATTATCTTCTCCATACTGACAAAAAAACCGCAAGATCTTTCTCGATCTTCTCAAGCAATCTCACAGCTTGATGCAGAGCCTCCAACTCTTTACTGGCGATAGAGTGACAATCAGGTTGTTGATGTAAACCCACCGCGCCAAAGATTCTTGTTCTCATGGTTCCTTTCGCACGTACATCAACATACCACAAGTCATTACTCGAGTCTGCAAAACAATTGACTTCTCTACCTTCAACATGACGGCACCATTTCATTGATCTTGTTGATGCATCTATATTCCAATGTACAACATCTTCATAGAGCTCTCGACTGATTTTCGCATCCCACGTTGACTTTTCTTGTGAGAGTCTTCGGACCAACAATCCACACTCTGGTAATAGCTCTAAGAACAGGCCACAAGGATCATAATATCGGCTAAACAAGCTCAAACCGAAGCCTTCGGTGCAGGAACTGACCTCTCTTCGTTGTTGAAAATCATCAGCAAACTGTATAGGTCCCCTGCGGCAAGAGCCATAGGAGCTTGAAATAAACTCCCCTTCTGAAGTCACCGTAATAATGTAACCCAGATACCGGAACTTGCTGCATGATGAATGATCCTTACTCGGAAGAATCATCGCTACCTTCTTCATGTTAAACTTCATACCATGACGCTGATCCTTCACTTTTTCGGCATGAGCAGGGCCTTTGAATTGGATTTGCTCTCACGTCAGTTCAGCTTTTGAAGCTGACTATCTCACTGTGAAATTCACAGTGTGAATGGCGGCTCTTTTTTCCAAATTTCGAGCCCGCATATTCAAATGGTTGTGAGCGGGCATCTTCTAGAACTATCGTGGTAGAGCCCCGGGTCCAAAGTTTGGACTCCAAACTGGGGCGCAGGAACCCAGGAGTTCTTGTGTCTCTCAGAACACTCCGACTGACCAAGAGTATCCCAGTGTCCGAGATGGCCGGAAATGATGAGGAGCGGAGAGATGTTGTCGTACTGGAGAAAGTTGACGCCACCGAAGAATGCAACATCCATCGCTTCGCCGGCCACAAAGCCATAAGTGAAGGCAGTAGCTGATCCCGAGAGCTACAACGTCTGGTAAAACATAGAATAGGCAGAATCCACAATTACAATTTGCTATCAGTCTGTCGTCACCGACGGCCTATTCCGTGTTGTTGTATTCTATCGACAACACTGTGCGTGATCCCTGTCCCCATGCGACTTGGCACAGGGGAAGCCGTCCGAACTATGTGCATCTCTCAAAGCTGATCTCCGCCAACGTTATTTCGATTCAACAGATGTCTTGTCTTTTCGGCAACATTTCAACCTGTTTTTGTAAAAGCCTCCTGTTACCGTAGCTCATTACTTGTGAGTGCTCGACTGTCGAGCCTCGACAATATCGTCAATAGATTGAGACGAAATGGAGTCTGCTTTTCGGATGAGCATCTCTATCATAGCCTCTGTAATAGTCCAAGAGAGCCGTACGCTGATTGGGCTCTTTGGCTCTCTCTACCGATTGGACGGGGTGTCTCACCGGGCCCGGTGACCGGGGTACCTCCATTCATACTGACACGTTCCCCTCATGGTATGTTCAGTCCACGAGCTCTTCGTCAATGAGCGGATTTGTACACCTAAACTCATCCACGTCACTTTCGTCCAGCTCCATCCGTTCACCTCTGTTTCATCCATGATTTTCTCGGTTAATTCTTTCCTTCCACGAGGTTTCATCCATTCATGCTCTCGTAACGATCGTTCCCTAAAATTTCCTCCGAAACACCTCATCCACTACTTTTCGTACACTAGCGATTTATTTCATCCATGCTCCTTTCGTTCTGGGCCGTTTTGGACATAAGCGGCGCCGTCATGGTGGACCTTACCGTGCTATATTAGGCTAGCTCATTGAGATTCACTACTAAGAACGCAACACAGGCTGTGGCACAAGGAGCGTTGGTAGACTGACATCGAATGCATGGTCATTATCATCATCAGGTTTGAATAGGCACGTACACTTCCATGTCGACACTGTCTGTCTTCAGCGCTTCCCTCATCTCCTTCAAGTCCAGCTTAACACCATTCACCTAGAATAAAAATTGTGTACGACTCGCGATGACAACATCACAGGAAAGGCATCAGCGTAACCACAAACATCAGTGTGACTATGCGACATGAGTTGGCCCTGATTAAGGGATAATCACAAGACACACATGACATACCATAGTAATGTATGACCCTTCCGTCACTCTACTCTCCCCAGCGTGGATCTTATTCCATTTGTCCAACAGCTGCCCTTTCACAATAGTGACAATCTGTAAATCAGTAAGCGCGCGTCCTCAATCAAAGCCCAGCCCGCCGAGCTGCCTGCACGACTCACTTCGAGGCAAGTCGGGCCTCCCGTCACTCCTGCCCCGAGCAACGGTGCTTGATTCACAAAGCCGAACTTGTCGCCTGGTATCGTCTTCGTGAGTTTAACTCGAACCATTCTGCATGATGGAGCCGATGGTGGCTGAGACACAGAACAACTTACGACAACAAACACAATGATGATATTCAGCTCACTAGCAGCTCTTCGTCCAAAGTCAAGACCTGTTTCGTGGGAACGCTCGACCCAGCTGAGATGCATATCTCAACAACGTACCGGCTCCCTACCCCCTCACCTTCAAGAACCATAGTATGGGGAGCCACAGGGGACGGAATGCTCGAAGTAGGAGAATCCAACGCCTTCAAAGGGAGTGTCGGATTTACCGTAGCTGCAGCCTGGGCGTCTCTGAGTCGAACATGGCGGATTACATATTATACTCTATCTTGCCATATCCCCGATACTTCCTGTTGTACACTCACACCTAAAGCTACTGAGACTACTGCTATCAACCCCACCTCACCACTACGATCATTACAACTATACTGGAATGAATATGTTGTTATAATATGTTTATCACTTGTGTTTTACCATACGGGTAAAATTTAATGATGCTGCCGATGATACTCCCAACCCTATGCGCAAATCATCGGATTAAGTTTTACAATAGGGAATCAAGATCTTTTCGAACGATCAATTTCGCACCCTTACTTCGATGCGCCCAAGATCTCCTGCGCTACTCCATCATCGGGAGGACCACACAGAGCCTTCACAGGCGCCGTGCACAGACAGAAAATTCCCGACATAAAATCAAAAAGGCAACAATCATCCGAGAAGTCTTTGCGCATGCGTGTAGATGATGTTGCCAACTCAACATTGATACGAATCTTCAACGATACCTCATGACTCTCGACGTGAAGTGGATGCCGCGACCTTCCGCAGAAACGAAGCCATTTTAGCACCTACCTCTCGGAAAAACCCCCAACATCAAAATGCACTGAATTGACAATATTTTCAAGGATTGAGAGAACCTTCACAACTCGAAATAGCAACAAATTCTGCGAGTGCGACCCAGCCCCCCTGCCGCCACCTTACGCAGCTTGTCCGGCTCCATCTCCTCTACTCGAGCAATGCTCGTTATGGTACCTAGGCTTTCTCCGAATCTCTTCCTCTCAATACCCCACCTATCTTTTCCATAGAAGTCGGCACAGCCTGTAGAGTCTTCATCTGCTCATCCGACGAGTTCAGTCGAGGAGTCTGCAACACCATACCTGATACCACACCCTCAACAACTCTTCGACCAAACACAACGAACAAGCAGTCACTCTACATTGTTCGAGTCCCATCCCATCGTCATCCGTCACGAAGTGCTTCTGCACATACTTACGGTACCTTATGTGGAATCGAAGCCTCGAAAGGACTCCCTTCTATGCTACGCTATAACGACGACGACAATGATGATGAAGATGCGATCGCCAACAAATTCCCCATTACAGTAGTTGCAACTAGCGAGAACAGTTGAACTACATGACCACCAACAGCTCTCATCACATATAAACAACTTCTGTCAATGAAGCGGGGGACAAGGAGAGCTTAATCACTGACATTCATCGGGAAAGAGCAGTGGTCGGAGCGTCAAATCAGAATCTACGGTGGGAACAGACGGGGATGGGTGTCGATGTAGTAGGAGCAGCAGCAGCTGCTAAGGTACTTCTTAGCGGAGCGAAGCTCGGAAAAAGCGAGGACTTGTATCCTCTCAAGAAGAATAAAGTACCACACCATTCGAATCCCTGCTCTCTTCTCACCACATGTTATCCACCTCCTTCACCTGCGCCCTCTCATTTGGATCATATACCAATATTACACCATCACAACCATGCTGGACCTAAACCACACTGCGAACATGAAAACCCGCTGATGCTGCACACAGTAAATCCTCACAGTGCGGTAACAGGCGTCGAAGTCCCCAACATCTCCCGAAACGTCCCAAAGTTCGACAGCAACTGCCAGAAGAGGACGACGACCGCTCCGTTATCCTGCATTCCATTCGGTATCCACTTTCACCTCACCCCCCTCATCCGTTTCAATATCCAAGATTCTAACCCCGCACGTTGGGGCGTACTTGGCCTCGCCCCCTGCGCCCTCCAAATGGATGATGGGCACTTCTCCGAGAATCTGTCAGAACGACGCTAGCCAAAACCTCTACATCATTCAGCACAAAAAAGCGGAGCGATGCTGCTACGTCTAAACAGGAAACGCAATGAAGCTTTGTCAACTGCGCCGAGTACGACACTTTTTCAGTCCTCCAAGTTCGCCATTTTCCCATATTCAACAACTAAGGCGATTTCCGATGCACCATCATCATCCCGTCAAACCGCGTTGTTCTTAACATAAGTCTCACGCGGCGCCACTCCAATCGACCCCCACAGGAAATCCGTCCCGTCCCAATAAAACAACCAAGGTGGAATCTCCACAGTGCTCTTGGGAACCTCATCAAAATGATTACGATCAAGGCCGTTCCATAGCACATAAGCCCCCTAAGCCGTCGACAGTTCTACAAATCCCATCTACCCACGTCGTTTTCTTTGAAAAAATCCGTAGATGGCATTTGGGAAAAAAATTTTCCCCTTGCCCCGTACATCCTATTAAAGCTACAGTACCCCTACGTCTACTCGAAACAGAGATCCCCTCCCAAAACAATAGTTTACCCTCAAGTGATGTCATCCTCACACACCCGCTCATATTACATTCGCGATGGTCGTCTTCCCAGAGCGCCGCGGTCCGAGGACGGCGATCTTCATCGTCATAGCCAATTTACCGAAAGTCAATAGAGCTACGATATCAAATCCGAGGCCAGTTCGGCATGGAGTGGTATACACCATCGCATTGTGACAAACACAACTACTCCATTGAACTTATGTAGTAGAACAGTATCGACCGTAAAACGTTTGTTATGCTGGTAGATTCCTAATGGCCGTCAGCCATCACTATATCGTCATCAACACCTGACATC